TTAACTCTACAGTATTCAGATTTTACATGCTAGCAATGTATTTTAAGTTGATTTACACCGAAATGAAACCGCGTCTTTTACAGATATGTAACTGCTTTCGTTCTGCGTTCAAAAGCAAAACACATGGTTTATTTTTCAAGTCTAATCAACTTATTTGTCTTTATGAGAGTATATTTCACCATAATTCTACTGTAACTTAGTTGCCATCAGCAGGGGTACCATGGGCATGCGTTTCGTCTTACCTGGCAGTCGTCGGATGGGTATACCAGAACTACAGTGAGTGATACCGTCCCCACTGAGACTCCAGTCTCGCACGCATAGCTTCAAATACCGAAAAATTGTGCACTAGGTCACTGATGCAAATAACAAGCCTCTCGTACAACAGGTATTAATTATTACTGTCAATCGACGAGTTCCAAATGGCACGGAATGAACTTGCAGGGTTTCCCTACCAACCACAACCAAATAAATTATCATAACTAGTATTCAATCAATATTGTGGGATCCTCATTGAAGCCCATATGCCAATAGATATCGGATAATTTGATCCAGTGTAACAACGAAGAATTACAAGTTTGTCAACAAACAGTAATAATCTTACCATGTTTCAAAACTAAATACAATACTTCAGCTTCTTCAACTGAATGTTTGGTTTTTTAAAAATTGAATAAAAATCTAAACATTCGGTCAAAGAAACCATGGCTTACATAGCGAAGTACTCACAAAAATCTTGTATTGATTTTCCGAACACCCTTCTGTTGTAAAAAGGTACCTTTTCAAACTGATTGAATGAGGCTGTGACGTCACTATTTTCTACGACATTCGTAATAACTATGATCTGGATACAAATAACTTGTTTGTCTCTTGGCAAATCATTTGAAAATATTTTTGGCAGGTTGCTACTCTTATACAAAGTTGTCATAAAAGTAAAACAGGCTTGGTAAAATGATTTTTTTCTTCAATTCTGCTTTTTGTCGTTTGGTCATTTTGTTTTTTTCATTTTTGCACTACACAAATATGTTCCACTTATGTCTTAAAGTCAACTCACTTTCCAATAATTTGATTGTTGTTGAGCCTCAAAGTAATCAACAACAAATTTGCATGATAGGTTACGTGTGATAAAATTAAGGAATTCATTCAAAAACTCAAAAAGACCACTTACAAAAATGGAAGAACTTCTTCAAAAAGGATTGAATTACCGCACAACAGATTCCTTGAAACCAGAATTCCTTGCGGCATTAGAATCGTTACTTAAAACATCAGGATTATTTGAGGTGGTCACTCAACAAGAAATGCGGCAAACAATTGTACCACTGACCAAGCAGAAAAGACATCGTGCTCAAATGAACACTCAAGAACAGAAAACATTAAAAAGGCCGAAAAATACGAAGGATGTCGTTATACTTCCAGCAAATAAAGGACGCACTACAGTAGTCATGCATAAAGATGACTACATCAAGAAAGCAGAGGAATTACGTAAAGGCAAAAATGTATATCAACTACCTGAGACCAACCCTATCCGGAGGTTTGACAACCAGATTAACAAAACCTTGAACAAACTCTTCAGAGAAGAAGAAATAACAAAACAACACGAATGGAGAATGAAATCGAATGGATTTGCTCTTCCTCCGTTCTACGGCAGACCAAAACTACACAAACCCGATATCTCCCTACTACCAATTTCCTCACTTCCGGAAACTCCAACATGCAACATATCAAGAGAACTTTCGTGAAGACTGAAACACCTCGTTCAACCATGCGGATATTCCATCAAGTCACCAAAGAAGTTCTTAGAAAAGACCGAAAGTATTAACATAAAAAAAGACTAATTAATGGTATCCTTTGATGTCACATGACTCTACACATCCATCGAACCACAACTGGCCAAGGAAACTATGTCCCTTCTGTTCACTGAAGGCACAAGCCTTACAGAATGCAAAAAAACTAAAATGTTCAACTCTGATGGAACTCATCGAGCTTTGCCTGACAACATACTTTCAATTCAATGGCGGGATATTCAAACAGATGGAAAGAACTCCGATGGGATCACCGTATCCGGATTAATTGCAGAAGCAGTGATGCAGACACTGAAGCCATCATTCTACCACTTTTGTAACCATTAAAAAAGATATAGAAGACACACAGTTTGATCAACAACGCTTTTAGTGACATCAAATTCACAATGGAGAAAGAGTTAAACAACCAACTTCCATTCCTGGATGCTTTAGTCGGCAGAACAAATGTCGGAAAGCTGGAAACCCAAGTATACAGGAAACCAACACACAATGATCAAATCCTCAACTATGGTAGCAAAAAGCCAAAAACTCACAAAATTAGTTCCATGCAGACTCTATTCAAAAGAGCGAGAACACACTGCATTACAACAACTTCAAGGAGAAACGAAGAAAATTACTTGATGTCCATCCTAAAGAACAATGCCTACTCATGAAACTTTATCAGAAGATGCCTATCCAGTTCATCATCAACTACAAAGTCACCGACAGAAATCAATAAACTCATCATTCAACCGTACATAAAGAATATATCAGAAATCATGACAAGATTGCCAAGACCACTGGGTGGAATTGGTGTGGCTCATAAACCAACAAATTCCCTCCAAACACTATTATACAGACCAAATGATACAACAACCAAAGAAGACAAACCGAACATCATTTATAAATCAACTACAATAACTGTGGTCAACACTACACTGAGCAGAGTGGTCGTCCTCTTCGCCGTCGTCTACATGAACACCAATCGGCTACTAAACGTCACACACGACATTTCATCACTCACTACAATGCACGTGGATAACAACTATAGAAATGAATTTAATTTGGACAATGTAGAAATTTCGTACGGAGAGAGGAAACACAAAAAATATCAGAGAATCCCTAGAAGCTTGCATTCAGGTCAGTCAGCCAGTCAGCAATCAACAGATGTATAGACATAGATCCAACCTATCAACCAATAAGGAAAATGATAAATGACAGAAAGGTCAGAGGTCAGGTGGAGGAACAGCCAACAGGAAAGTCTATACAATCAATGACACAACAATCGAAGGAAACAACAAATCACAGACCGCTTTATCAAGTCAAGGTACTAAATCATTGACGGAGAGATATTGACAGCTCACTTCATACTGAAGTTAGTGCTGATGATGTTGTCCAGAAAGACGATGAAAGTTCCACGGCTAAACAACCCAGCTCAGAGAACACAATACAACCATAACTATCCACCTGAGCTACAAATAGTCTACACCATTTCAAAACTAAGGAATTCATTTATACCGTTTTCAGAAACCTCTGGGTAGTCTATACCATTTGAACTTTAAACACTGCGGGTTAAGATTCAGATATATATGAAATCAAAAGGCAAAAACGTAGTAATGTTAAGCAAAATAAATGAAGCTGAGTCAGTAAAATCCAGTCATTTGGAGTTTTTACAATGTTCCCTTGGTCTTCGGACTCTGAATACACAATCACTATAAACTGTAAATACAACAAAAATAACCTTCCTCTTCTGTGATTAAATTGAATCTGAAAATCAACAAAGTTCATCGTTTTGATAATTCCATTCAGTCCACCTAGTAATTTATCATCCTACGTTATGGAATCCATTTGAAGACCGATTCGTTTGCAGACTAGATAACGAAATGTTCATGGGAAATGAAATCAGTATGAAAGAAAATAGGTACTAATGACTGGAAAAATTGTCCAAACTGAGGTGAACAACAGTGTAAAAATTTTGGCAAGTCATCATAACATAGAGAATACTACGTCTTTTGGTTTTGAGTACATTTCAAGAAGTATGAATTTCAGTAAATGCATTTCGTGAAAGTAGACAACTGCAATAAGATCAAAAATTGGGCACTGTGTAATTTCTTTCAGTTTATTTATCAAATGCTTTGCAGTAATACTTACTGGGTAGAATTTTGGATAAAATTTATTATGTATGAAGTTAGCACTACAACTTTATTATGTCATTTACCTGGGTCCCTTGAGATAAAGGTTGTGGGATATTCATCTTGTTGACTGGTATTGGAACCCAGCTTGACGCACACTTCATCCAATTCAGGATACCTTGGCGTTTGAACAGAAGGGTAGTCGGTTCGAATCTCATTGAGAAAAACATATCTCACTGGGGTGCCGGTACGCCAAGCTGATGAGTCCCAAATAGAACGAAGTGCGCATCAAGCTGGTTTCCACTACTAGTCACGAAGATGAATAAAGCATCATGAATATTCAGAAGTATGAAGGGATCCCATCTGCCAACCGAGGTCGAGCAGTTTGGCGCTGTATATCAATGGGAAATGATAAGTATCAAAGCAAAGCTTGTAAAATTTTAGTATATCTTGGATAGGTGCCTACTCATTCCTATAGCGTGTGTTTCATGCTGATTCCAAAAATAAACATTCAACTATTAACCTATCCCACAACTTATACATGCTATTCAGATCTTTTACTCTCTAACATTACATAGTGTGCTTGTGGACATATCTGCAACCGACCTCTGCTCTAAATTCCTTATCTTACCAGAGTCTGACACCCTGAATGAGCAAGGTTCTTTCTTTTGGTTAGCCGAATAGGTCGTGGTCAACACCTGTAACAGATATCTTATATCTTACTCATTAGTCAACAACTCTGTATATGTCCATATTTCACCAGCAAGCTTTTCTTTTAATTTTCTAAACTTAGTGTTTTGATCACTTGCTCAGTGGTGGCTAACAGTGGGACCCTGGATGCAGGTTTCGTTCTGTTCATGACTCGTTAACTGGATGTATTTACATCTAAGTGAAAGGTGGCATTTGGACTTAGCCTTGAGCTTAGTACTCATCATCTCGAACACGTCAAATTATGTCTCAGAGAATTTTCAGGCAATATAGAGGTGTCCACATACAACTGCATTCACCAAAACAGCGATTGATGAATTCGGTTCTTCATAGCAATCAACCAAAATGTATAGTTTGACCATAAAAAGCTTATTTTAAAACTTACTTTCTGGATATGTGGTGATCATGATAGACTCCGATGGCAAACTACGAATTCCATAGACTAAATCAATAGATTCTATATAAACACTATAATTGATTCCTGGATTAAGCGATTTAATATCAAATTCATTGTTATAACAAATGTTGAACTTCTGAAATTGATCGAGTACACCAATAGTCGAATGTATATATATCAGGTAACAATTGACAATAAATGCTAAATTTTGTTCTGATTCTGTCCATGTTATGTGAAACTGAGTTGATTTAACCCCTGTAACTGATACATTTGTAGGTGGATTCGGTCCTTTAGTGAAAAAAAAATCAATAGTAGAACTAATTCAGCGAAATAATCAGATAAGAAAATGGTAAACTTAGGTCAAACTGCTGCTGCAGGGGGATTTAAGATACCAAACTGATATCCATTAGTTAAAACAATCCAAGTGAAATGGCTATTGATTGGTCAGAGTAATGAAAATGTGTTCATCCTTAATAATGTCTAGAATTCACCGTTCGTTGCCGCCTTAATCATATTTTTTTCCTAACTAAAGTAATGAAAACTCCATCTGCAGAATAACATGACGTCATTCTACCTCATAGAATCATCATAAGCCGTGTACAACAGGGAAAAACAAGTAAACAGTGACTGTAACGAACATTATTTCACTGCAAATAAAGCGTTTTAAGGTACTAGTTAAAGTATGATAGATCAGAAGAACAGTACACTTTGGAATACAACCAAGGTACAGGTAATAAATTCAATAAGACTGAATACATGTTACATAAGGCAAGGCGAGAAATGCTCATGAATGAGTAGTATAAGATTGGAAAAAACTAGATGTGGTTACATAATCATACTGGGATATCAACTCAGCTGAAAGATAAGTGAGACAAATTTCCTTAACAATAACAAATACCTTTTGTTCGTCTTACTTTTCTTTTTGTTCTATCATTTTGTAGGAATACTTGAACTGGTTCATATCTGTGTGACGATTCACTTTGGTCTTTTTTAAGTCAGCTACTTCAGTATAGGTTTACGCAGTCAAATTTAATAGTCAAACAATAAAACAGACACTTTGAAAGTTCTACATAGCTAACTGAGATATCATTTTTTATTATAAACAGAAAAAACTAAAGAAAATCGGTACTGTGCAAATGTAATGCACTATTCAGACAAAATTTCATCCTGTAATCATACATACCAAATTTATAAAAGGCATTGATAGTTGAAATAAGAATGGCAACTGTATCGTGGATTGACAGGAGCAGGAAATTGTAGACCACTGAATTCAAACTCATTGGCTGAATGGTTAACGCGATCGCCGTAAAACCTGAAGGTCCTGAGTTCGACACCTAGCCAGGTCGTAGGTGCGAACTGCTGAGGAGTCTCATACTAGGACGAAATGGCTATTCAGTGCTGACCGGTTTTCAATGGTTTTTTAGCTAATATCAGTTTGTAATGAATATTACCATAGACATAAAATACTCACTAATCTATATATATACATATATATATATATATATATATATGTTTGGCTAAAAATAAACGAAAGTGCTCAGCAAAAGCTTAGCAATAAGCTAGTTATAGTTTCTGAGAGACGACGAAAAAATTGGTCACGAGTTTCCTTCGCATTTCGCTTTGTTCGCCTAGTTAGGTCGCATGGTTAACATGTGTTCCTCGAAGATCTGGTCATTATCAACCTCAATATAACTAGTGATGATAGTTGAGTCAAGATAAATTACCCAATCATAAAATTATGGATTATCCATTACATCTGAGCCAAGTACCTTTAGTTTATGCACTTAGTTAGTTGAGATAGTTAGATCAACTAAGAGGGTAAACAAATAATTCAAACCCGCCTGCCATGAATCATCATGCATCATTTCATTTGGTCATGATAAAATAAAACACGCCATGAGACCACTAAGCTTGTTGGAAGTCATATTAGAATACTGGTCTTTACAAAGATTCTCCGTACACAAACAATCAATTTCACAATCTTAGTTACATTTACCTTAGCGTTTTCTGGAAAATGCTTACCTACTGCCCTCAACAAGCAGTTTTTCATTCTATAACAGTGAAAAAGCACAATTTTCCTGGATAATATGACCTTAGTAAATTAATTGAGAATACATGAAATATTACTGTTACGCAGTGAAAGAAGAAGAAAAGCTCAGCACGAAGTTAGAATCTTTCCAAATTTACCTTACCAGCTACAGGTTGGTTACTGTTTATTAATATGCTTGTAATTCTCCGTTGTTTTACTGGATCTAATTTTTCGACCTCTGTTGGCATATGGGCTACCATGCCTCAAGCTCATGACTCTGTGATATAGTGGATAACACCTTAACGTTTGAGTTGATGGGTAGGAGGTTCGAGTCACAGTGCGAACAGCATCACTCGCTGGGGTGCTGATGAGTCCCGAATAGGGTGAAACGTGTTCTGGGATCTTCTGCTGGCCAAAACCGAGCGACTTACCATGAAAAGTTAGTTATTTCAGGAAGTGTACATATTAACATTTGATGACTACGCAACGTTTTCATCACTAATGCTCGGTCTATTCAAAGCTATCAAGTCATTTCTTGAATAGAATATCAAAAGGTGGAGCATTTCCATCGGGAATCTTATATTAATGTCAGCTGTTTCAATATTTGTCTCAGTACGAAAGTACAGTAGCATTCCAGAAACTCAAATTTAGATTACTCAGACATATCACTTGCATAAAGTGAATGGTCACACTTGCTAGATTGCATAACAAAGCTATGTAAAGAAATCGTGATTTCTGAAATGCTAAATAAGAGCTCAGTGTTGAGAAATTGAAACTGGAGAGAAGCTTTTTTGTTGTTGAATAACTGAGACACATTATTTACTTCTTTATGCCTCAACTGACAGAGGACGTAATAGATGAAATGATAGTGAATGGTTTAGAACGTTTGCCACCTGAGATGTAGTACGAATTACTTCAGAGGGCCATAAACTACAACACTGGAACTGCTAACAAACTAAACTTCTGTGCTTCGGTAAAGTTTACGTGAAAAGTTCGCAACTAAATGTCGAGCTACCCAATAATGAAATCAACATCTACAAAACATGAAAGAAGGGAATTCGCTAAAGTCGCTAGTGACTAACAAGACAGTTGTAAAACTGATATCAGATAAAAGAATTAAAACCGTTGTCAGGAACAAAACAGACTATATCAAAATGACAAAAGAACTACTCAACAACAAATGTGTTCATCAACCAGTTGACTGGAATCCACTTAAATAATTCTACAACCTCTTCTGTGTGCAGTTAACCGGTTCAACTGCTCCTCTAGAGCTACTTACATTGGACGTACAGTTAAGCTTGTCCGTCGTTCAGTCGCCGAACATCATCCTTCATGGTTAAGTAAGTGGCAAATCAGATTGATACGAAGCTCAATATTCTCTCGTATGACTGACACTGGTCATCGGGTCAATACTCATAACACATATAAAGTAATTTATCATATTCCTTCTAACCTCACCCATGTCTATGAGTTCTTTTATATACAGCGAAAGCCATTGGAATAATTGACCACTTGACATAACAATTCATTTTCGCCTCACTTCGTGTTAGTTACTACCATACAAAATATCAATCATACAACAACCTGTTTTAAATTTCACAAAATTATACTACTATAATTAATCTATGATTTAATTATTGCTTTAATTAAGTGATCATTTATCACCCTCTTGATACTTTGAGACTGATAACCTGTTATTAAACAACTCTCATCAGTAGAATGGTTTCTAATTCTGCATTTTGAAACTGCTATATATTCCTGTATGGCTGTAGATGAGGAACTAAATGAAAAGGAATATTTCTTGGCTCATACTGTTCATTCTACAACTAGATCGAAAGAAAACTCAAGAATATATTAATAGTTGACCAAATTACAGAAGAAGGATAGTGTCGAATGAAAACAAACTCATAAGTCCTATCGAGGGTAAAATAAACTTCGAACTAATTATTGTATAATTTATTCACATTCAAAACATACCCATTATATCATAGAACAAATACTTCAGCAAGACGAATACTTTTCAACCAGTTTATTTTCGAAGAAATATAGTTGGACATCTGAATGTATGCTTAAACCTTTCCATTCTTTATTCACTGTTTGTGTGGTTGTTTTGATAAAATGTTACGTTTCAAATTCGGAATATATAGAAATCAGTGAGAATATGTGGAAGGTATGAGGGTCATTCATTGATTTCAGGGATTCGCAAAAGATTCTGAATCTCTTTAAGTACTATTTTCCATCATTGGAGTTTACAATTGAAAGACGGAAAGATTCTAAAAATTTACGCCTACATGTTCTACTGACAAGAAGACATGATAGTATATTGAAGACGTTCATGTTGAGAAAACTAACGTGGAGTGAGCGGTTGACGAACTTCTACAGCTGGATCCCACTAACCATAAAAGGCAAACTTATTGGCACTCGCTGTTCACAATACCATGAAATTTGTTCTGTAGACTTCATAGAAGAGAAACTAAGCTCTTGAAATACGCCCGTTTTAAAAATGGATACCCGTTTCGTTTCATTGAGAAAGATATGAAACATAAGGACACTTTAACTATCACCAACAGTGTTTCCAAGATGATATCATTCTTGAGTTTAGGACTGAAGAAAGAGACTGTTGAGGATATTCTGAAAAACCACAACACGCCTCATGCAATAAACCTTAAGACAACTTATCACAGTACCCCTCTAATATACCTCACTATGAAGGATAAATTACCAGGACTGACCATTTCAATGTACGTTTATCAGTTCATTTTCTTCTGTGGAGCCAGATATACAGGTCATCCGTTCATCGCATTTCAGAACATCTCCTAGTAGGGTTTAGTAGAAAACAACAGAGATCAGTCAACTCATGTATTTTACAACAGTTGGTTGGGACATTCAATTTGTAGTACCTCATTCAGTATTACTAACAAAATACAACCAAACCTTCCTCAATGTTTGCGTCTCTATTTAGTATATATTGGTAAAGCTCTGGCAATTTATAGCTTGAAGTCAGATCTATGCATACAAAAGTAATTCGTTAAATGTTGCTTGTACCGTAATCCAAACATGGTTAACTCATGAGGCATCTGAATATCTTGAATATCAATTATTCTCATGTCAAGTTGTCTTTGAAGTCACTGTGTTTTTGATTTTAAATCTATTTTGTTTCACACTACTAATAAGATTATTCAGTTTAAGGTTATTTGAGGGATTTTATTTATCTCAAGCGAGCATTCACCACGGACTGATATCAATATAAGACGCGTTAAAAACCTAGGAGTACTGAAAAGCTGTTTCAGTCTAGTATGGTACTCCTCAGTAGTACTCACTCACAACCCATGACCTGGTCATCATCACTGTTGAGTCTTCTTTTTATTTACATTTCTTGGTTACCACTCATTTCACATGAACCTAGTTCAAACTGATCTTATTGAAATAGTGTTGCATATTACCATAATATTCGCTTAAAAGCCTAATGTATAACACTAATTACACAAACATCTTCCAAGTGTTTCCACTCATTTCTATATATTTTGCAAAATGTTTATCCTGCTAACAAAACCATATATTGATTTTTAAATGTAACATCTTGTCAAAAACAAACAAATAATCAGTAAATAAATGAAAATTTTAATACCTACATACATATATACGATTGTATATCCTTTCGAAAATAAATTCGTTGAAATGCATTACCTTTGTAAAAATTATTTGTTCGATATAATTTATGAGCATAAATTTTAATGTCTAAAAAGTGTGCCAGACCTAATTCTATTTGTACAGGTTAACAATAAGTTATCGATGATGGAATTGTTATGTCAAGTGACTGAGGTCAGTGTTACATACTATTTGACTAGTAGTTAGGTTGAATTGAAATCATTTTACTTTGGTACTGATTCTAAATGAGCTATACAAGTGACAGTTATCATGTATAAGTTATTTGAACATGTATGTTGGATTTGTCTGTGAAATACTATACGAAAAATCCAATGGTTGTTACTATTTACTTAAAATAAATAAGAGGGAAAACTGAATTATTCAACAGTTTCTACGATGATCAGCTGATTTCTTCTATATATCTAGTAGAGTACTAGGTGTTTATTATGATATGATGCTCGTGTATGAAGGTTTATCAACGTGACCATAAAATGAATGTATCATATCTGTATACAGAGAGGTGTTGGCCAGAGTATACGTAAACTTCAAGTCTTCTACTAGTTGACATTCATCAACAGATCTATCGATTAACCATCTTGAATTCTCAAGCAGTGTCGAGAGAGTATCAGATAAAAAAACAAAATATAATATCAAACCACCTGTATTGTAGAATGACTTTCTTTCTTTGCTAACAAATCTATACCTAATCTTAAAATTGTCCAAAAGTCGGTTATTTAACGCTGAAGAGATGTTAGGAAGAAATATGGTCAAACACCTGTAGGTACTCATGTCATCTACCATCAATGAACATTTTTCAAAGCCTTAGAACAGAAACACCAAGGCAAAATAAAGAAACATAAAACAGGAAAACAAGACGAGGTTTACAATGAATCGTCATGCTTCATTTCAATAAATAAAAGTGGAAAATGGAACTATACAAATTCACAAGTGGTTAAAAGTCATCCAAAAACATGGCGCTTCACTAGGTTTTTCTGAATATGGAAATGTAACTATGTGATTTTAATTGCATTCACTTCAGTAGTTTGCCAAAGACGAAATCAAATTGCCTAGTGATTTTGGTTTTTTATATTGTAAGTTAGTGAAAAGAAGCGAACCTAAATGAAACTGAATAAAATAGGTTACAGTCTTCATGAATCTGAATTTCCATTGAAATCATCTACTCCCTACAAACCAAGGATTAATCAAGACCTTTTAAAAACATGCAGATAACTCTAAAGATATTTTCAGTGCCTGTTAAAACAACATCGTAAGACAGAGAATTAATTATTTAACTAATGCATCTCTACACGATACCTGTGACTGTTTACTAAGTTGCGGGTGAAACTTAATGTGTAAGAGTCTGTGATACTATCCGCTTGCAGACAGGGTTTGAACTCAGGATACTTTGGTTGAAAGCTTAGTACTTGAACTAACTAATCACGAGACAAAAACTAGAAATATACAGATTATGTTGCAAAAAATATGGAATTATGATCATTTCTGATCGTAAGATAACACACAATAGAGATAAATTGAATAGTAAGGAAGAGTTGACTGCTTTTAGTCACTTTACGAGAAATATTTCAATCTTTCACATATATCTGCATAAATCGTTTGTCATATGTTGACCAAGAGACAGTAAAGTTTGATTTTATTGTACGGAGTAAATAAAAATTACAATCAACTTACTACTTGGATATGTAATTACTGTGATTGGATATGATGCATTACTGTATATACCATAAGATGAATCAATAGATTTCATATAAACTGTATAATTTGTGCCAGGTATAAGTGAAGTGATATTACACATATTTAATTGATTTGAAGCGACAATGAATTCCTTGTAAATGTTATTCGTATCACAATTGAGATAAATATACACCAAATAATTATTGATTACAAAAGCTGAATCTTGTTCTGATATCGTCCATTTTAGACTAAACCAATTAGGATTGATATTAACAGCGGATAAATTTATTGGTGGTTTCGGCCCTGGTAAAAAATAGAACATTAAGAGTTATAAAATGATCTGTTTTTTATAAATAATTACAAATAATGCACTAAGCATCCAGACGAGGAGAGAACAATATAGAACTTCAGGCAAAAAATACACTGGTGAAAAGCCAAAAAAAAACTGACACAAAAAGAAAAATGATAGAGTAAATAAAAAGGTTATCAGACAAACAAGTGTAAATAAACACGAAAAAAAGCCAGAAACTCATAAATTGGGGGGGGGGAAAAAAGTGACTATATTTGGTGGCTATTAGTTGATTTTTAGGCATATCAGTAATTTCGCCTCACGCTTGATTCAATAAAATTGAATACTGACTTCACAAAATGCCACCAGATCTTAATCGTAACATTTTATAATTTCATATAAGTTAGCCGTACTTCAACTAATACCGAAAAATTGATTTCACAGTGATTATACCCCACTTGAATTATATTCAAGAACTTGGGTTAGAATAAGTTGGCAATATCATCAACTTACATATCCTGCTTATTCTTTTGTTTAATACTGGACTACAACGTTACCCTATGAAAGTTACCATTCCAAAAGTTACTTTGAAAACGGTAGAAAGAAACAATCACTTCTTGACGTCACCTTTGACATTAATACATAATAGCTATGTGTGGAAAAAGTGAGACACTACACACTCTTTTCCAAATAATGCGATAAATTTACCCATAAAATAGTAATAACCGAACTGTTATTAACCACTTTTCTTATATTCTAGGAAAAATAACTGGTCAATTAACAGACCAAAATATCTTGTACTACTAGTTATCGAAAAAGCTCACTACAATCAATATCAAAACGAAGCAAAAATTCTTTGCTCAATAATAAGAAATAAATTGTATAGTCCTGCGTCATCAATACTGTACAATGGATTTTGTGTTTGCAAAGAGGTTAGTAAAGATAAAATAACTAATTATTGACATAATATCCATCCATAAGGATCATATAAAATATGCGCCGATAGAAAGTTCCAAAAGATATTAGTCCATACAGCAGATGTATCCCAATCTAGCAAAGGATGCAGCCGAAATATCACTTCAATATAACTAGCCCACTAAGCAACATAATTCATCATGAAAAAAGTATTCAATGCTCCAAAACTGACAACAGCAATGGTCACTCGAAACGCTTAAAAAGCAAAAAAAAATTATACACCATAACCAACACCGAAAAACAAAGAGCAAGGAACACAAATAAATCAACCGAAAGAAATCATCAAATGCAAAAAAGTACCTCCAAAAAAAACAAAAATAAAATCAAAACGACTCAAAAAAAAAGCGAAAAAAAGCCACAGATTAAAAGTAAAGACAAGAGAAGGATTAAAACAAACACAAACATAAGAGCAACATAAGCCTATAAAAAACAAATAAAAGATAACAAAATTTCAGAAAAAAACCAATGCAACATGAATTGATACCCCATTAAATACTTTCCAACACTCAGTCAGTATCAACATGATACACGGTATCGATGCACAACAGTGGAAGTTACCACACCTCACTCACATCTGCTCATCAAGATGCAAGACAACAAGGAGAAAGTCGAACGTAGGCAAGTAATATGATCGGAACTCATGGGAAGCTGTAAGAAAACCAGATGGCCTACAGCCAATAAAGAAATGCGATATAGCAGTTTATGTGACATCGAGAGATACTAGCACACACACACCACTCTGACTGACTCTTCGTGTTCATAACAACACATTACTCTCGGTTTATTGCCGAAATGTTGACGTGTTCTCAGAGTTGCATTGTCACTGTTATTACCATTGGTGAGCTTCCAGAAACAATACTACCAGAGAAGACTGTCACACAAGTCTCCTCTCTGTTATCAACAAACAATGAATAGTCATCAGAAGCTGTGCAAAATCTCCTTCTCATTGACAAGTAAACTCACCTGAAGGGTAAGTAAAGGCAGCAATCGTTTCAGATGCATTACTATGTAGTCCATACACTGAATCTTCGGATTGCATATACAACACATACTGTCTACCAGGTATCAACGCTGTCACACGGAATTCGCTCGATCCATTACAAACTTGATACTCGTCAAATGTTCCCATCACATCGAGTGATTCACGCTTGTATACTCGATAGCAGGTGACATTGAAAGCTGGGTGTTGTGTTGGATTGGTCCATTTCAGTGTGAGTTGATTGGGTGAGATTTGCGTGACTGACAGATTTGTGGGTGCATTCGGACCTGTGATAAAGAGAAAATACTATTTAACATACCTATTGTGATGCAACATGCATAATATTATCGTCATGAGTATTTGGAGTGCGCAGAAGGTGAGTCAAATGCAAAGTGAGAATGCCAATAACTCACTAAAAACAAGTTGATTGCTTTGTAACCACTTCAACACCACCACTGTACAACATACACACGAGAAGAACGCGCCACATCAAACAACGTGACAACATCATTCAGATATCAAGAAAGATGGTGATCAGGGGAATCAGAATGATCAGAGATGGGGAAACACTTACACAAAACGTATTCAAAAGTCATATGTACTTTTGTTTTGGTTTCCTACTCGTCTGATGATGTCTCGAAACACCACGTTGCGCAGACTCTTCCAATTCGCCTAGCGAGTCGTTACGAAACAACAAACGACCATCGAACACTATGATTCTTCACCCCACGGGTATGCATCATGAACTGATGACCTATTAAATACTTCCCAACACTCAGTCAGTATCAACATGATACACGGTATCGATGCACAACAGTGGAAGTTACCACACCTCACTCACATCTGCTCATCAAGATGCAAGACAACAAGGAGAAAGTCGAACGTAGGCAAGTAATATGATCGGAACTCATGGGAAGCTGTAAGAAAACCAGATGGCCTACAGCCAATAAAGAAATGCGATATAGCAGTTTATGTGACATCGAGAGATACTAGCACACACACACCACTCTGACTGACTCTTCGTGTTCATAACAACACATTACTCTCGGTTTATTGCCGAAATGTTGACGTGTTCTCTGAGTTGCATTGTCACTGTTATTACCATTGGTGAGCTTCCAGAAACAATACTACCAGAGAAGACTGTCACACAAGCCTCCTCTCTGTTATCAACAAACAATGAATAGTCATCAGAAGCTGTGCAAAATCTCCTTCTCATTGACAAGTAAACTCACCTGAAGGGTAAGTAAAGGCAGCAATCGTTTCAGATGCATTACTATGTAGTCCATACACTGAATCTTCGGATTGCATATACAACACATACTGTCTACCAGGTATCAACGCTGTCACACGGAATTCGCTCGATCCATTACAAACTTGATACTCGTCAAATGTTCCCATCACATCGAGTGATTCACGCTTGTATACTCGATAGCAGGTGACATTGAAAGCTGGGTGTTGTGTTGGATTGGTCCATTTCAGTGTGAGTTGATTGGGTGAGATTTGCGTGACTGACAGATTTGTGGGTGCATTCGGACCTGTGATAAAGAGAAAATACTATTTAACATACCTATTGTGATGCAACATGCATAATATTATCGTCATGAGTATTTGGAGTGCGCAGAAGGTGAGTCAAATGCAAAGTGAGAATGCCAATAACTCACTAAAAACAAGTTGATTGCTTTGTAACCACTTCAACACCACCACTGTACAACATACACACGAGAAGAACGCGCCACATCAAACAACGTGACAACATCATTCAGATATCAAGAAAGATGGTGATCAGGGGAATCAGAATGATCAGAGATGGGGAAACACTTACACAAAACGTATTCAAAAGTCATATGTACTTTTGTTTTGGTTTCCTACTCGTCTGATGATGTCTCGAAACACCGCGTTGCGCAGACTCTTCCAATTCGCCTAGCGAGTCGTTACGAAACAACAAACGACCATCGAACACTATGATTCTTCACCCCACGGGTATGCATCATGAACTGATGACCTATTAAATACTTCCCAACACTCAGTCAGTATCAACATGATACACGGTATCGATGCACAACAGTGGAAGTTACCACACCTCACTCACATCTGCTCATCAAGATGCAAGACAACAAGGAGAAAGTCGAACGTAGGCAAGTAATATGATCGGAACTCATGGGAAGCTGTAAGAAAACCAGATGGCCTACAGCCAATAAAGAAATGCGATATAGCAGTTTATGTGACATCGAGAGATACTAGCACACACACACCACTCTGACTGACTCTTCGTGTTCATAACAACACATTACTCTCGGTTTATTGCCGAAATGTTGACGTGTTCTCTGAGTTGCATTGTCACTGTTATTACCATTGGTGAGCTTCCAGAAACAATACTACCAGAGAAGACTGTCACACAAGCCTCCTCTCTGTTATCAACAAACAATGAATAGTCATCAGAAGCTGTGCAAAATCTCCTTCTCATTGACAAGTAAACTCACCTGAAGGGTAAGTAAAGGCAGCAATCGTTTCAGATGCATTACTATGTAGTCCATACACTGAATCTTCGGATTGCATATACAACACATACTGTCTACCAGGTATCAACGCTGTCACACGGAATTCGCTCGATCCATTACAAACTTGATACTCGTCAAATGTTCCCATCACATCGAGTGATTCACGCTTGTATACTCGATAGCAGGTGACATTGAAAGCTGGGTGTTGTGTTGGATTGGTCCATTTCAGTGTGAGTTGATTGGGTGAGATTTGCGTGACTGACAGATTTGTGGGTGCATTCGGACCTGTGATAAAGAGAAAATACTATTTAACATACCTATTGTGATGCAACATGCATAATATTATCGTCATGAGTATTTGGAGTGCGCAGAAGGTGAGTCAAATGCAAAGTGAGAATGCCAATAACTCACTAAAACAAGTTGATTGCTTTGTAACCACTTCAACACCACCACTGTACAACATACACACGAGAAGAACGCGCCACATCAAACAACGTGACAACATCATTCAGATATCAAGAAAGATGGTGATCAGGGGAATCAGAATGATCAGAGATGGGGAAACACTTACACAAAACGTATTCAAAAGTCATATGTACTTTTGTTTTGGTTTCCTACTCGTCTGATGATGTCTCGAAACACCGCGTTGCGCAGACTCTTCCAATTCGCCTAGCGAGTCGTTACGAAACAACAAACGACCATCGAACACTATGATTCTTCACCCCACGGGTATGCATCATGAACTGATGACCTATTAAATACTTCCCAACACTCAGTCAGTATCAACATGATACACGGTATCGATGCACAACAGTGGAAGTTACCACACCTCACTCACATCTGCTCATCAAGATGCAAGACAACAAGGAGAAAGTCGAACGTAGGCAAGTAATATGATCGGAACTCATGGGAAGCTGTAAGAAAACCAGATGGCCTACAGCCAATAAAGAAATGCGATATAGCAGTTTATGTGACATCGAGAGATACTAGCACACACACACCACTCTGACTGACTCTTCGTGTTCATAACAACACATTACTCTCGGTTTATTGCCGAAATGTTGACGTGTTCTCTGAGTTGCATTGTCACTGTTATTACCATTGGTGAGCTTCCAGAAACAATACTACCAGAGAAGACTGTCACACAAGCCTCCTCTCTGTTATCAACAAACAATGAATAGTCATCAGAAGCTGTGCAAAATCTCCTTCTCATTGACAAGTAAACTCACCTGAAGGGTAAGTAAAGGCAGCAATCGTTTCAGATGCATTACTATGTAGTCCATACACTGAATCTTCGGATTGCATATACAACACATACTGTCTACCAGGTATCAACGCTGTCACACGGAATTCGCTCGATCCATTACAAACTTGATACTCGTCAAATGTTCCCATCACATCGAGTGATTCACGCTTGTATACTCGATAGCAGGTGACATTGAAAGCTGGGTGTTGTGTTGGATTGGTCCATTTCAGTGTGAGTTGATTGGGTGAGATTTGCGTGACTGACAGATTTGTGGGTGCATTCGGACCTGTGATAAAGAGAAAATACTATTTAACATACCTATTGTGATGCAACATGCATAATATTATCGTCATGAGTATTTGGAGTGCGCAGAAGGTGAGTCAAATGCAAAGTGAGAATGCCAATAACTCACTAAAAACAAGTTGATTGCTTTGTAACCACTTCAACACCACCACTGTACAACATACACACGAGAAGAACGCGCCACATCAAACAACGTGACAACATCATTCAGATATCAAGAAAGATGGTGATCAGGGGAATCAGAATGATCAGAGATGGGGAAACACTTACACAAAACGTATTCAAAAGTCATATGTACTTTTGTTTTGGTTTCCTACTCGTCTGATGATGTCTCGAAACACCACGTTGCGCAGACTCTTCCAATTCGCCTAGCGAGTCGTTACGAAACAACAAACGACCATCGAACACTATGATTCTTCACCCCACGGGTATGCATCATGAACTGATGACCTATTAAATACTTCCCAACACTCAGTCAGTATCAACATGATACACGGTATCGATGCACAACAGTGGAAGTTACCACACCTCACTCACATCTGCTCATCAAGATGCAAGACAACAAGGAGAAAGTCGAACGTAGGCAAGTAATATGATCGGAACTCATGGGAAGCTGTAAGAAAACCAGATGGCCTACAGCCAATAAAGAAATGCGATATAGCAGTTTATGTGACATCGAGAGATACTAGCACACACACACCACTCTGACTGACTCTTCGTGTTCATAACAACACATTACTCTCGGTTTATTGCCGAAATGTTGACGTGTTCTCAGAGTTGCATTGTCACTGTTATTACCATTGGTGAGCTTCCAGAAACAATACTACCAGAGAAGACTGTCACACAAGTCTCCTCTCTGTTATCAACAAACAATGAATAGTCATCAGAAGCTGTGCAAAATCTCCTTCTCATTGACAAGTAAACTCACCTGAAGGGTAAGTAAAGGCAGCAATCGTTTCAGATGCATTACTATGTAGTCCATACACTGAATCTTCGGATTGCATATACAACACATACTGTCTACCAGGTATCAACGCTGTCACACGGAATTCGCTCGATCCATTACAAACTTGATACTCGTCAAATGTTCCCATCACATCGAGTGATTCACGCTTGTATACTCGATAGCAGGTGACATTGAAAGCTGGGTGTTGTGTTGGATTGGTCCATTTCAGTGTGAGTTGATTGGGTGAGATTTGCGTGACTGACAGATTTGTGGGTGCATTCGGACCTGTGATAAAGAGAAAATACTATTTAACATACCTATTGTGATGCAACATGCATAATATTATCGTCATGAGTATTTGGAGTGCGCAGAAGGTGAGTCAAATGCAAAGTGAGAATGCCAATAACTCACTAAAAACAAGTTGATTGCTTTGTAACCACTTCAACACCACCACTGTACAACATACACACGAGAAGAACGCGCCACATCAAACAACGTGACAACATCATTCAGATATCAAGAAAGATGGTGATCAGGGGAATCAGAATGATCAGAGATGGGGAAACACTTACACAAAACGTATTCAAAAGTCATATGTACTTTTGTTTTGGTTTCCTACTCGTCTGATGATGTCTCGAAACACCGCGTTGCGCAGACTCTTCCAATTCGCCTAGCGAGTCGTTACGAAACAACAAACGACCATCGAACACTATGATTCTTCACCCCACGGGTATGCATCATGAACTGATGACCTATTAAATACTTCCCAACACTCAGTCAGTATCAACATGATACACGGTATCGATGCACAACAGTGGAAGTTACCACACCTCACTCACATCTGCTCATCAAGATGCAAGACAACAAGGAGAAAGTCGAACGTAGGCAAGTAATATGATCGGAACTCATGGGAAGCTGTAAGAAAACCAGATGGCCTACAGCCAATAAAGAAATGCGATATAGCAGTTTATGTGACATCGAGAGATACTAGCACACACACACCACTCTGACTGACTCTTCGTGTTCATAACAACACATTACTCTCGGTTTATTGCCGAAATGTTGACGTGTTCTCTGAGTTGCATTGTCACTGTTATTACCATTGGTGAGCTTCCAGAAACAATACTACCAGAGAAGACTGTCACACAAGCCTCCTCTCTGTTATCAACAAACAATGAATAGTCATCAGAAGCTGTGCAAAATCTCCTTCTCATTGACAAGTAAACTCACCTGAAGGGTAAGTAAAGGCAGCAATCGTTTCAGATGCATTACTATGTAGTCCATACACTGAATCTTCGGATTGCATATACAACACATACTGTCTACCAGGTATCAACGCTGTCACACGGAATTCGCTCGATCCATTACAAACTTGATACTCGTCAAATGTTCCCATCACATCGAGTGATTCACGCTTGTATACTCGATAGCAGGTGACATTGAAAGCTGGGTGTTGTGTTGGATTGGTCCATTTCAGTGTGAGTTGATTGGGTGAGATTTGCGTGAGTGACAGATTTGTGGGTGCATTCGGACCTGTGATAAAGAGAAAATACTATTTAACATACCTATTGTGATGCAACATGCATAATATTATCGTCATGAGTATTTGGAGTGCGCAGAAGGTGAGTCAAATGCAAAGTGAGAATGCCAATAACTCACTAAAAACAAGTTGATTGCTTTGTAACCACTTCAACACCACCACTGTACAACATACACACGAGAAGAACGCGCCACATCAAACAACGTGACAACATCATTCAGATATCAAGAAAGATGGTGATCAGGGGAATCAGAATGATCAGAGATGGGGAAACACTTACACAAAACGTATTCAAAAGTCATATGTACTTTTGTTTTGGTTTCCTACTCGTCTGATGATGTCTCGAAACACCGCGTTGCGCAGACTCTTCCAATTCGCCTAGCGAGTCGTTACGAAACAACAAACGACCATCGAACACTATGATTCTTCACCCCACGGGTATGCATCATGAACTGATGACCTATTAAATACTTCCCAACACTCAGTCAGTATCAACATGATACACGGTATCGATGCACAACAGTGGAAGTTACCACACCTCACTCACATCTGCTCATCAAGATGCAAGACAACAAGGAGAAAGTCGAACGTAGGCAAGTAATATGATCGGAACTCATGGGAAGCTGTAAGAAAACCAGATGGCCTACAGCCAATAAAGAAATGCGATATAGCAGTTTATGTGACATCGAGAGATACTAGCACACACACACCACTCTGACTGACTCTTCGTGTTCATAACAACACATTACTCTCGGTTTATTGCCGAAATGTTGACGTGTTCTCTGAGTTGCATTGTCACTGTTATTACCATTGGTGAGCTTCCAGAAACAATACTACCAGAGAAGACTGTCACACAAGCCTCCTCTCTGTTATCAACAAACAATGAATAGTCATCAGAAGCTGTGCAAAATCTCCTTCTCATTGACAAGTAAACTCACCTGAAGGGTAAGTAAAGGCAGCAATCGTTTCAGATGCATTACTATGTAGTCCATACACTGAATCTTCGGATTGCATATACAACACATACTGTCTACCAGGTATCAACGCTGTCACACGGAATTCGCTCGATCCATTACAAACTTGATACTCGTCAAATGTTCCCATCACATCGAGTGATTCACGCTTGTATACTCGATAGCAGGTGACATTGAAAGCTGGGTGTTGTGTTGGATTGGTCCATTTCAGTGTGAGTTGATTGGGTGAGATTTGCGTGACTGACAGATTTGTGGGTGCATTCGGACCTGTGATAAAGAGAAAATACTATTTAACATACCTATTGTGATGCAACATGCATAATATTATCGTCATGAGTATTTGGAGTGCGCAGAAGGTGAGTCAAATGCAAAGTGAGAATGCCAATAACTCACTAAAAACAAGTTGATTGCTTTGTAACCACTTCAACACCACCACTGTACAACATACACACGAGAAGAACGCGCCACATCAAACAACGTGACAACATCATTCAGATATCAAGAAAGATGGTGATCAGGGGAATCAGAATGATCAGAGATGGGGAAACACTTACACAAAACGTATTCAAAAGTCATATGTACTTTTGTTTTGGTTTCCTACTCGTCTGATGATGTCTCGAAACACCGCGTTGCGCAGACTCTTCCAATTCGCCTAGCGAGTCGTTACGAAACAACAAACGACCATCGAACACTATGATTCTTCACCCCACGGGTATGCATCATGAACTGATGACCTATTAAATACTTCCCAACACTCAGTCAGTATCAACATGATACACGGTATCGATGCACAACAGTGGAAGTTACCACACCTCACTCACATCTGCTCATCAAGATGCAAGACAACAAGGAGAAAGTCGAACGTAGGCAAGTAATATGATCGGAACTCATGGGAAGCTGTAAGAAAACCAGATGGCCTACAGCCAATAAAGAAATGCGATATAGCAATTTTGTCACTTCTACGTGTACTTATCCCAGTGTGTTTTATTGTGTTTTTGAATTCATTCGTTTTTTGTACTTTGTTTTTTTTTTGTTGCTGGTTTTTTCTGGGATTATTTGTTCTTTAATATTTTGCCTCCTCCTGTCTTTGAATTTTATTGTTTTTCTATTGCTGTTTTTTTATTGTTTTCCTCCTCTTCAATGTTTCTTTTCTTTGGTTTTGTGTTTTGGTTTTTCGCATGTTTTTTTAATTCATCCTTCTGTTTTGATTTCGCCCTATTAATTTTTTTTTGTTTTTTTTTCCTCTTGTTTTTCTTGATTTTTTTGGATTGCCACTTCTTGGATATCGTTTTATGTCATATTTTCATTTTCATTTTCCGCGACTGGTTTTCTTTCTTCTCTACGTTGTTTTTCTATTTCATGTTTTGGATTTACTGTCGGTGGGCGATTCTTCTCTGATCATATTTTACCCATATTGTTGAATGACATTATGATTCATTTCGATTCATTCACTTAATTATATTTATACAAGTTTTTGTTCGTTATAAAATTTTCCATATTATCACAGGACGAATGAAACCTGTAGAGATGTCTCAGTATGTTTGTGATACTCTCAATCAGAAAATTCAAGGTTCAACGCCAAGAATCTTTTAAAAATATTCTTTGGTTAATTGTTGAATCCCCTGAAATTCTTGGACAGAGTTGGATGAAACTACTTAAAAGAAGATGGAATGTAGCATGTAAAAGTATTTGAAACAGTGGAAATCCGGAAAGTAAGCGATTAATACCTTTCGTGTTTTCATTTTGTAGCAAGTATGATTTCATATGAGGGTATGGAGCATAGGGTTTGTTGATAATTATTAGTAAGCATAAAAACCATGATCAAACTGGGTTTCATGTAAACTTGTTTTCAATAATTTCTAATGAACACACTCAACACTTCTCCGTTAGCAACCAGTCTTAAAATATAATTTGCATATTGTCTTATGAAAATTCTTTTTATCTAAAAAAATGTTAATTAGGCATATTACTTAATTAAGAAATAACCAGAACAGACGATTACCTCATACATTTCTATATATTTATTGAAATGTATGTGTTTTTATGTTTGCACGAAACGAATATTAAACTAGTAAATAATGTTATGCTATTATACAGAAATGTTAACTCTTCGCCATAGCAGGAAACCACAGCATACTCATGTTTTAAAAAAAAAAAACTACTAAGATACATTAAACCATAGTAAAGAAAAGGAGACTATCAGATAAGATCAAGAAGCTGAGGATGACAAAGTATCAACTTTCTGCATTTTTCTAAGAAACAAATGACCTAAAAATAATAATAATAGTTGGCAATTAAGGGTAAGAGTACATAGTGTGTTTCATGATCTCAACTAATTACTGGCAAGTGTAAGTGTTCAGATGGAGTTGATATTTGAATGAGATCAGATTTTACATGTTTATCGTTACTGAATATATTAACCCATTAACTACTTCTTCACGTTAAAAAATCTACATGAGACTAGAGGTATTTGTTTTACATGCTGGTGATAACCGCTTAACAAATGTATTACATCAAGGCATTTTATCGTACCTCATCAATATACAACTAAAGATAAGTGAAATAGAAGACGTAAAAGTTTTGAGATGAGGATTAATATCTTACTGTTAGTTGCATATTATACATTTATCTGTTGAATGATTCGTTCACTGTCCAATGAAATCAGTGACACGTAGTTGTTTCAGTGATCGTACTACTTTACTGGAGTCTTCTTCTTTACTCTTCTTAGTATTGATTTGTGGGAAAATGTAATTTTTTGAGGGCATATATTAGAAAACTAGAATAGAAGTTGAGAAGAATAAACTTGTGTTACAATGAAGTACTCTACTTTCACTGTTCTCTCGGTGCTTTATTTAAGAAGCAACAATACACTCATTCGTAATACACGACCAGGGATATTCATTAAGTGATTGGCTGTTATTTATGAGGTAGATTGCAGAGTGATCTTCGATATATATCAAGTAAGTTCGAGTCTAAGCAATTTCACGTTGTTATTTTCATTCCGCATATTCTTTAAGAGTATCTGTCTGTTGAAATCCTAATGAAATGGATCTCTTTTAAACTACGTATTTTCTTAAAATTCAATTCTCGTTGGACCTGAAAAGCTCTAACTAATGTTTGTGTTGTTTTTTTCTTATGTTTGAGGCAATACAAAGAGTTGGCACCAACACTTCCTTCAATCAGTCTGAGGAAACAAGAAATAATGACGGCGTTGTCAATATTTGAATTCTTCAGAAATTTGTGTTACTTTTCTAGCAACAAACAGATGGATGAGACGAAATGTTTTGAAGGACTAGTACCTTATCAAATCTAGGTATGCCATCTCAAACGCATTTTAACAAGCGACTAAGACCTGTTTACCATTAAACCTGTGATCCTCATTCATAATGTGTTTGTTAATGGTTGAAGATGGTTAATTACCTCCTTCTTTTACTAATTATACTGAGTTTTATACGTTATTGTAAATACATTGAAGTGAATATTGAATCACTGTCAAATAAGTTATCTCTCCAGTTGTATATACTTTCAAATAACTATGTAAATGGGTAAGTTTAGCTATATATGATCGATATGGAGTTGAGGTTTGTATTGAAGAAAGTGATTTATTTTCGAACGAATTTTACGCCTATTCGGATAATATGTCTTATTGACAGTATTCTTAAATCTGCATTTCAAATTAGTCTACTTAATTGTTTTTTTGCATTTTGTCAAGGTGCAATGATCTCTTTTAGAATATAGATTGTAGAGCAGTTTTCAGAGTAAACTGACTTTAAAAAATGATGATGTGCTTCAATGAGCATACATCTTCTATTAGTATTTTGACTGTTATTTCGGCATGTTTCATTGCATCTCCTTAACAAATCTTTTAACAAAGAGCCGTGAAATTTAATAATGTATTCTTTTTAACTAATCTTCATGAAAGTATTATGACTATGCTGATCACATTCTGTGTTTCTTAATTGCAAATCGTTCCTGTGAAAATCCGAAGTTTGTGTTTGAAGCTGGGATTACTGGAAGACAAGTTGTTGAAAGCTCAACCATTTCGTTGTCAAAATATTTTAATTTTATCACACATGGCGACATGACAACTGTAAATATTGTAATCTCGCGGTATAATATTCATTTTATTCTTCTTACCTTCAGGTAGTGTTTCAGCATGAGCTTGTAGACAGATATCGTTTATATTACCGAACGGAGAAATCAAATTTATGCGATATGTGTAATTGGTTATTGGTTCCAAGTTATCGAACAAATAACCTGAGGACAAAACACAGACACACAGATTATTGTACGGCTTCAGGCAGAATAACAGTATAACTTGTAATTGAGTGAAGAATAGAATAATAAAGAAACAAAAAGAATACGATCGCAGATATCAAATTGACTAGATGTTACTCAATTGCTTGACATTGAAATAATAAAGAACAAAGCTAAGTGTGCCATAGTGATTCGCTTTGAGCAATGAGCAGCTAAAAAGTTCGTATCTACACCTGCCCCTATAGGAATAATACCCAAAGTTGAAAACTTATGAGTTGATGCTATATTTCAGTTTGGCCAAGCCTAACCTCTTTTATTTCAGTCTGACACCAGGTAATGCCGGTTGTCAATGTAGAGGCTTAATAATGGGATGGCTTTAATGCTCTTCGGAAAGAATGTAGGTGGTTAACCCTTCTCAGCTGCACATACTACAAAGTGTAGGAAAGAAGAATGTACCAAATTTGAATACTGTTGGTGTTTAATGAGTGTCTTTTCAAGGCCAGTCATAAATAGCTTCATTCAGGATCTTAGTGACTTTAGAGTTCCAGTAGATCTCAAAATAACTGTACTAGCAGAGAAAGAAAACACAAACATAATATACAAGCAATGATACTAAAACTACCTATCGCACAAGAAGTGGCTATCGTGGCTAGGTGGTCTAGTGGATAATTACCTGGCGTTTGAAGCGATCGATCTCGATTTGGAGTCCCGATGGGAACAACACTCACTGGGGCAGGTACATCTAGCCAAAGAGTCCCAAATAGAATGAAATGAGCATCCTGGATTCCGCTGCTAGCGGCTACCCACCACCATTATGTAGAATTAAAACACGGGCATTATCGTGGCATCGGCGCAGGAGCCCATATACCAATAGAGACCGATCACTTCGATCCAATAAACGACAGTATAATACAAGCAACGATACTCTTTTTGATGATTATTGCCTTTAATTGTCTCATTCTCACTTCTTTCTGTCTTTTTTCCTGACTGTATCTCATCACTTCCTTAAAGTTCATATTCTTCCATCGATTCAAAAAGAAATTATTCAATGAAGTGTGAATTTAGGTAGTCAGAGAAGGAAGATATGTACATGAAGTATGTGTTGATAAAATCATCTAGCCTGGTGATGAGCGTCCAGGAATAAACCTCAAAGCCTTCAGAATACCAAACGAATATCATAACTGAATTTTTTTAACACTATGTAGTGCCTACATAATTCATAATGTTAATTTATCTTGTTCTCATTAATAATATACTTGACTTTTATCATTTAACACCACAGCATACATTTCCTTGCAGTGTTATGTCCCTTAGATTAATGAACACATCCTAAGGAAAGGTTGTCTGAAAGCCAATATGTCTCTACTTAATCGATATTTGATACATAAAAATCAAGTGTATCAACAGCCTGTGATTACAGACGACTTTAATGCATCTAAAATAGGATCTTAAATACAGTGAAATAAAATGATGTGATTACTCCTGTAAATCCGTAACCCGAAAAGAAGAAAATTTCCGAAAGAATTGAAACTAGTTGAACAAGGTGTAAATATGCTGAAAGAAAAGCCGACTGGATAGTCCTCTGGCTTTTCAAGCAACGAGTAGGAGTCCCTTCCTCAGTAGGAATATCATCAAGGACTGTATCAAAGCACTGATGTGCTGATACGTCACTTACTTGGGTGAATCGCATCGGCTCAAAAGGACTAGTTACTGACGAAGTCGCACCTCGGATACAGAAGACACGTTTGGCACCCGTCAACTTGCATTATCTGCAACACCGACTAGTGTGGTATCCGGTGATCTATCAAAGGACAAGTATACTGATTCACAGCTCGTTCCGTCCCATTATACACCTGTGAGACACGGTTGTTAAAAGTAAAAGACATGAAGTGGTTACAGGACCTTGATCATAGGTTTCTTTGTAGCATCGCTCGCGTTTGGTGGAACCACTATGTGAGCAATGTTGAAGTCAGGCTAAAAGTATTAGGCAGGATAGTCAAGTAGGTTGATGAAGCTGTGAACCTTAGTCAACTGAGATTGCTTGGAGATGTAATGCATAAACTGAGCCACTGTCTACACTAGCAAGCCATGCTATAGGAAGTTGAATTAGATTGGAAGACGGTTCAGGGTAGCCAGACTGGTCAATGAAGTCTCTTACTTCCATATTAGATTTGTTTATTTGATTTATAACACACAGTGATCTAGTATTATTTACTTGATGACTTTTGAGCATAAATTATTGCTTATAATCTCTTACTGTTGATCTGAAACTTGTAGGAAGACGCAGATTACTTGTTTGGGGTCGTAGAGACAATTGGGATCAATGATAGAAGACACCTGATAACATGGTTTGGAATTGGTCACACTGGCGCAGATTTATTCACTCTCTGGCTTCTTCTAAAGCTTGAATATTGTCACCAACCATTATCTTCAGATTGTTTTTTTTCTCATAGAACATTTCATACATTGATATCAATTTTTCCATCAACCTGTTCATTGTGTAGCACTGTGAAGTGTAACAATTTGAACCATCGACTTGTGTCTCAGGTTCTTGGTTGATTTTGTCTATCTCTCTGTCTTTGTCGTAAAATGTCTTAATTTGACACTTTTGACCCTACTACTAGCCACTACCAAGTACATTTCATTCCAATATATTCTAATGTTTAAACTGTTTAATGGTTTATCCAAGTACAGTCAGAATTTATAAACAATAATAACTTCAAATTACATTCTGGCTCAATTGCTTGTCAAAATTGATGACAAAATTATCGCATACTAAGGCTATGAAATACATGAGTTGTTGAACTCTTCTAATTATCTTTAAATATTATTCCACATAAAGCATAGAAAGAGTGAGGAAAAAAGAAAGAAAAAAGCATAGTATGTTGGTAAACAATGGTATTGTTCCAATTCATAATTAGAAGTTTTGAAGTTGAAACATAATTCAGGTTGTGTTGAGTACTTACTGGTTTCGTTCAAAGATAACTTGACAGCTTTTTGAACCTGTGATACATGATTGAACAGAATCAATTCCAAATAGGCTTTACATTCGTCAATCAAGAAAGTGTTAGTTAACTGTGACCACATTACTCTTTGAGTATATCTACCAATATTCGTCACTTGTAAGAGATTTCTTTCAGAAATTTCTACAACAAATAAATAATAAAGACGAAAAAAAGAGCACTCAACAGTTGATTCATCTGAAATGAAATGTCTGAAATTATTGTTCTCATCTCTTGTCCACTCACTAATAAATAAATTTTTCAAAGAGAACTGTTGACGAATGACCATTGTCTCAAAAAAAACATGTGTTCAAGTTGATACTCATCATGGACTGACATCAATTAACGAACCACCAAAGACCTGCAAGACCGGAACAGGCTGGATGGATTCAGGAAGTACAAGTCATGTGCCGACCAAATTGCAACACTACGCTTCGCATCATCATAGAACAGAGTATAGAATGGCAGTCAACTCTACAACTCAACTTTATCAACTTTGACAAAGCCTTTGACAGCGTCGACCCACAGGTAATTTCGAAACTGTTTTAATACTATGAAATACCCCAAGCCTTTATCAGCCTCATTCAACAACTATTTGAAGACACCATTTACCAGCCAAGTAATTCACAATGGGAAGCTCAGTGATGCTTTGAAGTGAAGACAGGAGTGAAACAAGGCTGCCACCTACTATCACCCATGAATTCTTGATTGTGGTCAACTGGACTGGATCATTCAACAAACAGTGAGGAGCGAGAAGAGGGTGATACGCTAGATGGACTGCAGAAAAGAACCAAGAGGATCTGGATTTCACCGATGACTTATATCTAATGTCACACAAACTTGAAGATATCCAGGCGTAAACTAACAAGTTAACATGAGAAGCAAGGCTGCGAAGATAGGACTTCAAGTGAACGTAGAGAAGATGAGCTGATGAAGATGCCCAACGAACAACAGCATCAATGACAAGCACCCATCATTATCAACGCGAGAAACTTAAAGGAAGTGGCTTCTTTCACCCACCATACCAGGCAGCACTGTTTCAACTACAGGCAACACAGGCACAGACGAGGACGTCAAAAACAGGATCGGAAAGACAGCAAGACAGGCGTTCATTAACCTGAAACCAGTGTGGAGATCGACTGCACTCAACATACAGGGTGAACAACATCCGGATTGTCAACATCAATGCCAGTCAAGTCAGTGCTTCTATGTGATGGTTCAGAACTTGGCATGTCACGAAAAGCACTTCCAACAAACTACAGATATTCACCAACAACTGCCTACTCTGGCTCTTACTGAAGCTCAGATAGCCAGAATACTAATAATAATAGTGGTAATAATAATAAGCAACAAGGAACTCTGGCTGTCTGGCTGCCAACGAACCAACCAAGAACCTGTCATCCAAGAAATATGCAGTGGAAGGAAGTGTAGATGGATTGGGCATGCAGTGAGGAGGCTGATTGGGGACATCACGAGCCAGGCCAGGTCAGGCTAGGCCAGGCCGTTGAGAGGAAGGTAGATGGGAAACGGCGAGTTGGATGTTGCAGGGAGGTTGACGTGGAGGGTATAATGTGAGGAAGAAATGAGAGATAGTGGGCAGTCGTGGATCCAGGTTGAAAAGATTGGAGAGAACGGTGTGTAATGGAGACGTGCTACTGAATCCCTATATTCCATTAGGAACCCAAGGGACAAACAAGAATAATAGAGAGCTGCAAGTGCTGGACTGCTGTTTCTTCCTCGGACTGGACTCTCCAACGGTGTGCACCATGGTCTTCCACGGATTGAACTCAGGACCTTCATGTTCCGCGGCCAGTATGTTACCACTGAGCCACTAAGTTGGCAACCAGTGGTCCACATTTCCTACTTTTGTCGGTACACGAAGTAGTGCGACCCCTATCCAACATCTCGTTTTAGTAAATGTCTGCACGTCCAACTTGATTGGTCTCACCGGTAACGGCTTCTCGTTAGAACTTCGGGTTCGATTCCTGGAGGGCTTATGGATACGCACTGCTGAGGAGTTCCATACTGGGGCAAAACAGATGCTCTTAAGTTTCCAATGGTTCTCGAGTTGATTTCAGGCCATGATAAATGTCAACCTGAAATCGATAAATAAATCCCCACAAACCTTACAATTGAAAACTTCATGACACTTTACAAAATAACATTTCTCTGGAATGTAGAAATCCCTCGCATCATTTGATTTCAATAGAACATCTGATTATACATATGCTATACCATATTTCTTGCATCGACATTCTTTAGTATAGTTAAAATCCTTGTTGTGTTGAAGTATGTTACCAACCGTCGCCACTGACACATTCTCTCAGTCTTATTTACTTTCTAGACAAATTCGCTAGTTATTTATGTATAGATAGTCTCAATATTAAAAAGTTGTATTTTTTTCTCCACATGAATAGGCTGAATTCCTGTACTTGATATGTAACGTTAAATTTATTTCATTTCGAAGTTCCTATCGGTTATATTTTTTGAAAACATTATTTTCATCCAATGTTTCACACTGATTTTTATGAACAGAAAAGCGAAAATCTAACTGATGCACCCAAGAAAGTATCTGAAAATTCATCTGGTTTTTTATGTTTTTTGTTGTCAAACCATTAAGTGGAGCTAAAGTGCGCTAAACATAAGAGAAAATCAACCTAGTTTTCATCCTTCAATAGGTTTTAGATGAAAAATATGCATACTATCACTTATTACCTGCCACATTTCTTAAACTGTAGGCGGAATTCAACTTCTTAGTTTGAGAGGTTTCGAACTGTTGCATGACCATGAAGAAATTTCTTTGCAAGTAGTTTATGCTAATTAAGAATCTCTACCATAAAACTCAAGCAGTCGTCTAAAAGCTTAACGTATGTCCTCCACAGATGTTCACTATCACCATGGCTATGAATTTGATTATCTTTAGATTTCTTACTTTACTACTGTCATACACCCTTAATTGAGCTAGCTTTTAGCGCTTGTACAGCCTTACTGGCCCTACTGAACTACTTTGACCTATGTATTTAACTAAACAATCACTGCATCGAATTCGGTAAAATAAACTATTTAGCCTAATCAGATCAAGAGGTTGACTAAAACTATAAAGGTTGTTTTTCAGTGAATTTATAGGTTTAAGTTGTATTGTAGTATCAGCCTTATTGAGAATTCTAAGAAGCATCTCAGAGGTGCCTTCCTGGTTTGGTAACACTGTAGACGTCTAAAATTCCACTTTCATAATATTATTATTATTTTTTTTATTACCACTTATATTACCACTAGTCAGTAGATTTCGTTAGAGTTTTTACAATAAGTTTATTGGTTAATTTAGGAGAGTTTTTGATGAATAAGATATCTTAACGCATCTGATTTCGTGTCTTAAATCTTCTATCTTACCAATAAACTTTTTAGACCTGTTACTTATATATTTTACTATGTTTACTTTAATTGATATAAGGTGAGATCCAAAGTCTAAGCATTTATTCAAATGGGAAGATTTCCTACAAACACTAGTTTTTTTTCACTCTCACATTGTTTTTGCATGAGTCTGTGATCCAAAAAACGGAATGACTTTCATTACTGAATATATATGTCCTCTGATGTCAATGCTATGAATGTATTATCCATATATCAACACTACATTTTTGGGACGGGAGTAAATATTTCTACTTACACTCGTTCTAAACTAGCCATGACTGTGCCTGTTACGATCTCATGAAAGGTCTTCGTGCCTGCATGTAGATTTAATTCTAAAACAAAGACCGTATGAGTCAAATATACCTGTACTTCTGGTATAATCTCCTCCACTAGTACTTTACTTTAGGGTATAAGGTCGTATTATTGACTGAGTTTATTATTAACCGGATATCTTAACCAAAGTGACACGAGACAAAGAAGTAATGATTACAGATTCTCGGCGATGTACCTAAACATTAATATCAGGGTGGAAGATTTGTACACTATAATCGTCTTCAAAATTTTATACAGTATACAAACCGTGAATTATTTATTCTGTCTCCTGTTGTGTATCTTGTCTACTTTTTGACATTATATTGATTCTATCTACTTTCTCTTTACAAGTTGCTTAGAAATATGGCAAGTTAAACAGGTACATTTTTTCACAAGGTTTCACGTTGACTTGCCGATCTGTCTACGTGTAAAAGTAATCGTCAAATAGTATGAACTGATCACCTAACCATTAGCTATTTTTACTGCTGCATAGAGAACCGAGTCAACAGTATTCCTTTGAAGGTCAGTCACATTTATCAGATTTACCACAAATGAACTCAAAGATGTTATTACTAACAAGACTAGATTTCAGCGCATAAGTAGTTAACATGGAATGAACAGTGCACAACTTCTAATTTTGACAGGAAGAGATATTTATTTCAACCATTATCTTTTAGAAGTTGACAGATTTGCATAAATTTGATGATTGTTAGCAGATTGAAGTGATATTATTGAGGATTCCTTAGACAAAAATAACTTCACTTACAAGTGTACTGTACTCACAAGCGAATAAACCATGTTGAACGTTTCTTCCTATTCTCAAAGCAATCTCATTGTAACTGTTGACTTAATGATGGAATATGGCAAAAAAGACTCTGAAGCGGCGTCTACTGAAATGTTTGATGATGATAAGGGTTTGAAGCAAACAATACTCACTGGGGTGTAGGTACATCCAGATGATGAGTTGGTTCTAAATCAGATGAAACGCGCGTCCTGGATTTCGCTACTAGATACCAAGCAGAATTTAACCTAACGAATATTTGGGCAGTATCGAGGCGTCCACACAGAAGCCCATTTGTAGACAGAGGTCGAGTGGTTCGCTCCTGCATGGCAAAAGGAAACTGAGTGTATTAAAACAGCATCTGACACCTGTTATATAAGAGGTGGCTATCGTACCCCAGTGGCTTAGTGGGTGACGTTGAGGCGTTTGAGGAAATGGGTACTGAGTTTGAGTCTTAGTGTGGACAATATAACTTACTGGGGTGCAAGTAGGTCCAGTTAACGAGTCCCAAATAAGACGAAATACGTGTTCTGCATTCCTTCACTAGTCACCAATATCAATATCAAACCCATAATTTTCCCAAAGATTTTAGTCTTTTTCTCTGGCCACTAATTCTGGGTCAGGGTTAGTTTTCTCGACC